AAGCAACCAGGCGGTGCCAGTGGTGCCTGGCGGGGGGCTGCACACCCACTCGCTCTGGCTTAGAACCACGCCAGGTGAGGAAGTGCGGACTGGCGCCCCTCCCTTTCTTCACCATTGTCCAACAGAACGAATGAACTGGTGGTGCAAGTGAGAGGCGGTGGGGCAGCAGTGATGAGGGGGGCAGCGCTGCCCCCCCACTTTGGCTTGCCAAAGAGACATCCCCAAGGTGGGGGGAGCAGCAGGGTGGGCAGGTGGCATCGTGTTGCGTGGCCCCCAGCTGCGCATTGCTAATGCTGCTGCCCTGCTGCTTCATGCTGAGGGCCTCGCATGTGTGGGGCAGCACAGGGGGATGCAGTGCAGGGTGCAGCTCCCAGCCAAGCACCACTGATCACCAGAGGTTCTGCTCGTACAGGAATGGCAGCAAGGGAGTCAACCGAGTAGCGCTGCTCTTCTCCAGGCGCTGACCACCTCTGTGTCCACTCCTGTCCCAAAGACCTTCATGGCAGGAGGCAGGAGGAGCAGGGACACCTCTGACAGTTGTGCCAAATGGAAGCTGGCAGTGGCGCTGTCTGGTTAGTCACTTGGCAGGAACTCTTGCCAAGCAGCTCTATGGTTTTGGCCAATACCACAGGTTCTGTTCTCCAATTCAGATGACTCAACAGCCATCATAGTACTTGTCATGAGCCATATTTCTCCCTCTGACAAGCACCAGCCACAACCCATTTCTTGACAAAACTCTCTTTATTTCTATATAGAAATCATTCAGCTATGTCTCTGAGAATACACAAAGCAGTTAGCTTGCCCCAGTCTAGCGATCACTCCCCAAAACCCCCTTTATGAGTGCACTTATGTTCCAACCCTTGGGAAGGAGCACTGTGAAAGCACATGTGCCTCCGTTCTGCATGCTTCACAACCAGCTGCGCTTCTTGCTTCTGCTGCCACCTGGCCACCGGGCCCAGCTCAGGAGGGAAAGCGTAATCCCCATTCAAAGGCTCTCCGCCATCAACAGTCCCTCTTGCTGGATTTCCCTCCCAGTCCCATGGTCTGGCAGCACCTCCTCCACGTCCTGTCTAGCTCTAATCTCACCCACCTCCCTGCCCTGCTGTTGGTTCCCAAGACCTTGAATCCCCTGCTGCTCAAACCCACAAAATATTCAGTTTCTTCTTCTGAATCTGAATTAGCAAAAATGGTGTGACTAGTGTCTTGCAGGAACACTTGACAAAGTCCACTATCATACCTGCTCGCTACAGTACTGCGAAACTGTTGTTTCTATTTGTGGTTTCTGAAAACCACACATACCATGCTGTGCATTTCTTCTTCTTCTTGAAGCATATCTGCATTCTGAACAAGAAAGCCAAGGAGAAATGTAAAATCTGATTATGTCATTAAGTAGAATAAAGAACAGGAGGATATAGTCTTTGGAGGAACAGAACTGGGATTGGTTGTTTTAAATATACAGAAGATATCTCAGATTTGCAAAAATCTATGGGCTCCCTTTGGAGATGCATTATCCAGTATAATTTCCCTAAAATAAATGGTAAAAATAATATTTGTTAATGTACATCCCACAATGCCTCTTGTGACACAAAATGGAACATATTCCTTTCAAACTGTTAGATTCAATGTCCCCTTCAAAGAAGGAATTCTTAAGTAACTGCAGTGGGGAAAATGGCATTTAATTTTGCTGGCCTGTTCAATTTCTACAGAAGTGTTCATCAATTGTAAACTAGAATGCCATATTGTTGAACAAGCCATTTGCAGAACCATTTTAGGTGCTATAGGTTAATTAAATCCATTTTGCAAACTGTATACTTTACATAGAAGCCATCTTGTTTTATGAAAGGAACAGGGTTATAAAATAAATTTGAAGCTAATTGGAAGCTATATCAGTACTAAATGGTCACAGCATGGCTTCCTTTATTCTTTGAGCCCATTATCACTTGTGTGCTAATATCACCATTTTAACTGTTATTGGCAATCAGGCTTGCTTGATGAGCCATTCTAACGAGATTACAGTTCAGTAGACTTAATTGTTTTGATAATTATAATGCCATTGGAGTATGGAGCATTTTACAAGTACTACAATCAAATAAAAAGATAGTTCTTCACTTCCAAGGTACATGCAGTCAACATTTTGACAGTGAAGGAGACAACAACGGGAAGAAGGAGCTGGATGGGGAAAGCAAGACTAATGGATGGTTCACGTCAACATGTCAACAAACAGTTGCATGGATTTAGCTTTTTCCAGGTTGCCCCACACTTTCCACTGCAATCATGTGCACAACTTCACACCTGGAGCCAGGGGTCAGACTAGATGGTCCAGGAGACCCCTTCTGACTCGCTCTGTTTCTATGTTTCTACTGACATGGCATAACTTTCGGGCATTGCGGGAACTTCAGAAGGTGACTCCAAGTTGCCCACTGTTCAGTGCTGCACTGGTGCTGTAATCATGCAACCTTTGGGCTTTAGGAGAGGGCACACCAGAAGCCAGGCTACTGAGCCGCACCCCCTCCTGAAACGAGAGCAAGCTCTGTGGGGTGGTGATTTGGTAAAGGAACCACATAACAACAGAGAGCAGCACTCCATTCAGAATCTCTTAACAGGAATGTAGCTCTAGGTCTGATGTGCAAGGCAGCCAGCACCATTCTTTCCATGGAGAAGCAGACCAAGGGACTGCACTCCTGTCTATAGTATACCATGGCAAACCAGCTGTCCACAGGATCCCTCCAACAGGATGCATGCAAGAGTTCTACCCGCCCAAGCTCCTCAGCAACTGGTGGACTGCTTCTCCTAACTGAAGCAGCATGTCGCCAACGAGGGAACCCCACTGCTGAGAATCTAGAAATTACTTTGGCGGTCCAAGCCCGCAGAATTACTATGTAAACCGATTTAGCATAGCGATCTAAGCCTTTCTAGTTGCAGGCTTTAGGCCAACAATATCCGACTTCGTCATTTATATCCAGCCTGATGGAGAGCATAGCCGCCAAACCTTGCCTAAGAACTGTGTGTATATAAGGTACTAGCAGAGCAATAATCACTTTATATGCAAATAAAGATCTGATGCATCTATGCAAATACTTTTAACCCAGCCTGTCTTCCCGATTTGAACTACAGCTCCCAGCATTCCCTCCGGAAGCCGTGCTGATGGGGCATCTGCCAGGCATCCGGTTGGTGAAGACCTCTGCGCCTCCCAAGCAGGAACGCCATGTGACGCGCCGCCTTTCCCAACATCTCTCCGCGCCGACGGGCCCCGGGACGCCTCAGGGGGCAGGCGGGGACCCTTGGGACGCCCGGCGTAGCGCCCCAAGCAACGCCCCGCCCACGGCAGCCGACTGCGCACGCGCATCCTCGGGCCCGGCCCCGCCCCGCCCCGCCCCGCCCCGCCCCCCGAAGCGTCTCAGAGCCCGCCTTTCACCTTATTGGGCCATTCTGCGCCTTCTGGGACGAGGCCGCGGAAGATTGAGCTGCCGGTCAGCGGCGGTAAACCAATGGGCAGGACGGGCTGGATCAGAGAGCCCGCCCCTTACCATAGGCGACGATACGGGCCCCGAGGTTTCAAGATGGTGGCTGCGCCAGACTCTGACGAGGAGGGGGAAAGGTAAACGCAGCGACCCTCCCTCCGGAGCGGCTGATCGACACTCTTCTCCTCCTATCCGCGTGGCGGAAAAAGGAGGGAAAGTAGGAGCGGGAGTGCGTGGGGAGAGGCGGTGGTTTCCGCCTTCCGTTCGTGCGGAGGCTCGGGTATGAGGCTCCGCAAGTGAGCGTGTGCGAGGAATCTCTCGAAGCACCTTACAGCGATATTGAAGCATCTTTCACAAGTTACAGTTGGGGCAGCGATTATAGCAGTAGCACAAGCCCGCACAAATTTAGTCAGGACTAAGTCCCGCCGAGTCCAGTGGTGCTTACTCCTAAGTAAATGGGACTAGGTCTGCCGCCTACAGTAATGAGACATGGGGTGGGGGAGTCTGCCCTAAAGACACCCAGTTTGTATGTTTCTTGGACAGCTGACATTGCCATTTTTAAGGTTTCGGCTCCTGAAAGATACTTATTTCTAAAAAGCAAGTCCTAGTCTTCAGCTCTAGTCTAATAGCGCTTTAAGAGTAGTTTACAATTATGGCAACGCAATAATACAATACAGTTGCCGCTATACCGTAATCCAGGGCATGTTATCACAGAACTAAGCGCAGGGACAGTGCTGGGTGTAGCCCTATCAGCACTTAACTCATGCTAAGCCCTTTTGGAGCTGGCTTCTGGATGAACACAACTGGGTTGTACAGCTGCAATCCTTCATACCCTTAATATGGGTAGGTTGCTTTGAGCTCTCATACTTCGAGATTGTTTCTGTTTGCTTACGCATTTAAATATTTCTTAATTTCATTCTAGGACAGAAGCCTTCCCAAGTCAGCCTATGACACTAAAACTCATACAGCCAATATACTGAAAGCAATAGAAACTCAATAAAACCAGCAATTAAAAATAACAGTGCAAAAAATACAAATAACAATAAATCCGACAGCAAAACCAGGGATAAGACAAGACAGAACAATAACATGAACAAAAACAACAGCAATTATATCAGGAGAAGACCACTGTAAAATAATGTTTTTGAGACCTTCTTTAACACCTGCAACAATGCAACAATGAAGCCTGGTGGGCCATTAATACCCTGTTTCCCCAATAATAAGACCTAACCAGAAAATAAGCCCTAGCATGATTTTTCAGGATGCTCGTAATATAAGCCCTACCCCAAAAATAAGCCCCAGTTAAGATTGTCAGCCAGACAGATGCGTTTAGTACATCCGTTGCAATACAATTCGGGGTTTGGAGAGTTATGGCGATGTTCCAGAAGAAGATGGCATGACTGTACATGAATAAATGTAGATTTTTGTACATGAATAAATGTAGATTGTTGTACATAAAAAAATAAAACATCACCTGAAAATAAGCCCTAGTGCAAATTTTGGAGTGAAAATTTAAGACCTGGTCTTATTTCCAGGGAAACATGGTAGCACTGTATTCCAGAGGTGTGGGACTGCTTCAGAGAAGGCTCTCTCTCACTGCTACCACAGGAAGACAGCTAAGAAGGGCCTCCCATGCTGATCTTGAGTTAGGGCAGTTTGATATTGGTGAAGAAGGCCCTTCCACTAATCTGTTTCCATACTATTTAAGGCCTTAAATGTCAAGTCAGCACTTGGCAAAGTATAGGTGTTATAGAATCAAATTGTCTCACCCCCACCAACACATGGGCAACTACATTCTGTACCAGCTGAAGTTACTGGACCATATTCAAAGGGAAGTACAGTTCATTACAGTAGCCCAGCCCGGATATCACTAGTGCCTGGATAACAGGCAAGGTCTGCATTCTCCAGATAGGGCTGCAAATGGTGTACCAGCCTAAGCTGATCAAACACCCTCCTAGCCACCACACTGAGCCAGGCTTCCTCAGTTAGCACAAAATCCAGGTAGATTTCCAGATTAAGCGCTTGGTCTCTCCTTTTCTAACTCAGGTGTAAGTGTGCATGTTGGAACAAAGTGCATCAGTAGAATGTAATGATTTGGTCACTTGAATGCTGGGTGTTGGCTGGTGGTGCAGACAAAGGGATGATTGACCTATCTTTGCTGGAGTTTGCCTGGCTGGAGAATGGTAGCAGGTAAAAGATTTCTTCTGTGCACTAAATTAATATTCAAAGAGGCTGCTAGGTAACAAGCATGTTTGGAATTGCTGCTTTAGAATATGAGGTGGTGTCCCAACTCTGCAAGAAAGGCTCTACTAAAGGACTCTTGAACTAACTTATAGCTTAGTTTACTTCTTGGCTTCTGAACACTGACAAATCATAACTTGTAGTAAGTTATAAATTTTTCCTGCAGCCTTAATATATAATCACACATGTGAGCTGAAAGTTCCTGTGTATATGTCTCCAAGAAACAGTAAACACAGTTATCTCATGATGCTCATAGTAATCACCCTGCTCTTCTGCTTTGTTCATACAGTTTTTGTTGTACAAAGGATACTACATGACTAAACAGTATGTATTAGATTGCTGTCAATATTTGTGTTGTAGAAATAATCCAATTATGCTTACCCCCAAGTGACAATATCATGATTGTGGGTGCACGGATACTATATCTCATAGCATCTATAAAAATGTGAACAAATTTGCTTTATAACAAAGTTTACATTTCTCTTATGCAAATTAAGAATAACCTTGGAGTTAAAATTCTGTTTTTAATGCATATTTGGATTTTTTCTATATTTTTTTCTAGAATGAGTGTGAAAAATAAAGCTAAGCTGCAATTAAGGAAATTTGATGTTGGAGCCCGATTTTCCCATTTACCAATAGCAAAGGCCTCTGTTCTTATCCCACTGATGGTTAAAAATGGAAAGCTTTCTGTACTTTTCACTGTGAGATCGATGAAGGTATGTAAATGTTAAAGCCAAAACTAATTTAATTCATAATGTGTGAGGCTAACTGAGAAATATTGCTGCCTAATAGAAATGTATAAGAAATTAAGTCAAGATAAAAGGAAGCAAACATTGTATAATGACTGTATTTGCACATAACAGTTCTTCATACTTTATTTTAATCATTGTTTGTTATTTTAGCCTTGAATTTCCTTGCAGATGAGCAAACACTTGATTCCTCTGATTTTGCCTTCCATCAGAATGATTCCTATTTCAAGCTGCTCTAGCTAGATGCCCCTGTTTCAGGGTAGAAAGCAGGGTGAACAAGCTAAAATTTTAGTTCTCTGTTCAGACATCACTGAAAGTAATGGTTTAAACACCTAGATTTCATAAACCAATAACAAACCATAGCATCTGTTTATGGTTTGTAGCTGGTTAATAAGCCAGGCTTCATTTGTGAGAATATGTTAGGACACAATGGGCCTGTTTGAATGTAGCAGCAGCAAACTGTGAGTTAATTTATGCATTTTTGTCTTTATATTCAGTAACATTTTGAAAAGCACATCAGTGTTTGCCAAATACCTGCTACACAACTTGTGTACTTGCGGGGAGGAGCACTCATATTGTACATTGTTGTGAAGTAGGCTTCCGGGCACACAGATTTAAGTTGGGGGAGAACATTGTAATGTATAAAGCAGCCCATATCTTAAAATACTTTGAAATATGAGCCACCATCCTCTAGAATATTTTGTAAACAACCTTACAGTAATAACACTTAACAAAACTGCTCTTTTAATTCTTAGCTGAGAAGATCACCAGGAGAAGTCTGTTTTCCAGGAGGCAGAAGTGATTCAACAGACAGAGATGAAATAGCCACAGCTCTTCGAGAAGCTCAGGAAGAAGTGGGACTCCATCCTGAGCAGGCTGAAGTTATCTGTAGGCTTGTACCTGGAATAGATAAAGTAAGGTGCTATTTGACCAAACTGTTATTTGTATTAAAAATAAACAGTGAATCAGAATGAGTGGCTTTCAAAGGAGATCAAACAAGTTAGGGAAGGGTAAAGCTATCAGTAGCTACCAGTCATGTTGTCTAAGCTCTGACCAGTGTGAGGTTCAGAGGCACCATGCCTCTGAATACCAATACCTGGGGAACATTAACGGAAGATGGTTATTGCCCCACCTTCTTGTGGGCTTCTCAAAGGTAAAGGTTTCCCCTTGACATTAAGTCCAGTCATGCCTGACTCTAGGGAGAAGTGCTCATCTCCGTTTCCTAGCCAAGGGAACCAGCGTTTGTCCGCAGACAGTCTCCGTGGTCATGTGGCCAGCATGACTAAACACTGAAGTGCACCGAAGTGCTGTTACCTGCCCACCGAAGTGGTACCTTTTTCTCTACTTGCATTTGCATGCTTTCGAACTGCAAGGTGGGCAGGAACTGGGACGGAGCAACGGGAACTCACTCCGTTGTGCAGATTCAAACTGGTGACCTTTCGATCAACCAGCCCAGCAGCACAGCGGTTTAAACCACTGTGTCACCTGCAGTCCCTATCTCAAAGGCGTATGACTGCGTAATCTGGAGTACAGGATCCTTTGGTCTGATGCAGCACACGTATTAAATTGTGTAGGCATTGGGACATATCCCTCTGCTTGACGACACTGTTTCAGATAGCAAAAAAGAAAACACACAAAATTCAATCTGTCAGTTACATTGACCTCAGTTCTACAAGTATTTGTTTGCTAATTTATAATAGTCTACATTTTTTTCATGTTTCTGAGCAACTGTTGTGGTATTAAATAATGAACTTTACAACTTAAATACTGAAAAACAGGAATTTCCAAAACTGAGCAGCCCTACCTTGGGCCTTCAATAATCAGCCTTTACCTTTATCTGTAAGGTAAACTTTGTCATCAGATAATGAAAGGAACCTTTATAAGGCGGTAGCACCTTATTGGGTCTATAAGCATAGAGTCAAACCTTGCCTTTCTCAAGCTTCTACTGAATTATCTTATTACAAACTTGTAAGCAGCCATGAGCTACCTGTTAAACTAAAGACCTCACTATGCTAGGTCAAAGCATTTTATAGTTTTAATATATGGTTACTTTTAATTGTCCTCCATTCCCACCAACAGAAATGACATGAATTTTATATTACACTCACTTTATGTTCATATATGAGGTTTGGGGGTGGAGAACTATCCCTATATGATAAGAAGGCTCAAACCATATTAGTTATAGGGCCAAGCTGCAGCTAGGAGTTTCTGTTGACTGAAAACATTTTAAGGCCCTTTTTCCATTGTAAAGTTTAATGACATTGAAAAAATGTTCATCTCATGGTCCCATCGTTTACTTCCTCCACACTGCATATTCATTGGAAAGTCCCTGGTAAGATATGTTTCGTGATTAGAAAGTGGAGCTGTCATTTACTAAACCCCAATCCTTTCCTCCTCTCATCAGAACTTAGGAGAGAGAGAGAGAGAAATGATAATTTGTAGGAGACATTTCAGATCATAATTCAGATTGGTTGTATTTGTTGGTTTGGAGGGAAGCCTGCATTACCTTGAGAGACACCAGAAAGATTCCAAAGGGGTACAAGTTGGCTCAGGCTTCAGCCAGATCCCAGAGCACAGTGAGGCATCTAAACTGAAATCAAATGAACTAAGTAGCAGGTGCAAAATAGTTACACGGAGCAAACAAAACTAGAAATGTTTTGTGAAGATGTTTATTTTTTATTTATTAACATCTTTATTCTTTTCAGACTTATTCTTTAGTAACTCCAGTTGTAGCCTTTATAGAAGACACATTCCAACCCCATCCTAATCCAGAAGAAGTCAGTGATGTGTTCTTGGCGCCACTGGAGTATTTCATTAGTCCTTCAAAATACACAGCCTTACCTTTTGTTAAGATGGGAGAGGTTCCATTTTTGATGCATTCCTTTGAATATGATGACCCAGAGCTTAAGAAGTCCTTTACAATATGGGGACTCACAGCACACTTTGTGGTATTCCTTGCGCTTGTAATTTTTGGAAAGAAGCCCACTTTTGAAGTTCAATATGATCTTGATAATTTGAATTCTTCTGCTGAGAGCAATTTCATGGAATTATACCATGAGGGGAAAAGGAAGGAAAGCAAGCTCTGAGTTGTGAAAACATCATTTTCCTCTAACAAATATATTCCCTTTTAACCAGGCAAATATATTGACTTAAATACATTGACTTGAATACATCCCCTTAAATTAGATTTGTTAATTGAAGAAGTATATAATATATTCCTTTTTCAGTATTCGTGTATTGATTTAATTGTACAAAATAAAGTATACTAGACAGTTTGTGGTATAGACTCCAGTTATCTATTCTTTATCATGTTTTTTCTCAAAAGGACTAAAAGTTCATACCAGTTTCTCCTACCAATCTAAGCTGAGAAGAATTTTCTTAGGTATAGGCAGGCATAGGACTGTAGTATGAGATTTCTCACATTTTGTACAGACACACAAGCTAGAAATGAATTTGTACTATATGAATTCAGAAGTGCTCATATGTATTGTATATATTGGTATTTTCCCAATATATACCAATTGTATATATTGGTATGGAAGTGGCAACACCTAGAGAAATTTATTTTATGATTTGTTTAATGCATTCAGTAATAAATAAGCCAGTACAGAATTGCATGTATTTTAAAGCAGAATGGAGTGACTCACATGCACAAGAAAAATAGTACTGAGTTTGGTGGGATTTATCTTTATTTCCAGGTTTTGGCCCCAGTGAACTGTTGAATTTGAGTGAACTGCTGGATTTCTGTGTACCTCATTTCTTACTAGTATAAGAAGGTATACCCCCACACGTCCACTGCACCATTCTTTTCATGTCTTCAATGGTATGGAACATTGACTCATTTGGAAGGGTTTTGAGTTCAGATGCAAAATTACTTTTATTCAAATTACTGTCCCACCATGAATTTACTAGGTCACCTTATTGGCATTATTCAATTTGTTTCACGGTTTTATTTATGGTTCTTCTATTCCTTCATTTATTCCAGGAATCTCATGACAGTTTGCAAAAATTAAAACAACAGAAGAGTTGCAATTAAAACTCCACAGTGCTTGTACTTAATATAAAATGAAATAGTTCAAAATATCAACAATTTAGAAACTGGGGAAATTAAAAGGTTTTGGCCTGGTGCCAAAATGAATAAATCGTCAGCACCAGGCACTCCTTTCTAAAAAGTATATTCCACAGGTGGGGTGCAATAGCAGAAAAGGCCCTTCTCCGTGTAGCATCTCTTTCAAGGAGGGCTTTCAGATAAGGACTTTCACAGATGATCCAGGCAGGCTCATACAGAAGGAGACATTCCTTCATGTATCCTGTCCCAAAACTGTTTAGGGCTTCATATATCATTGTCAGCGCATTAAATCAGGCCCAGACTTCAATCGGTGGTCAGTGTAACTGGTATAAGACTAGTGTGATATGTTCTTCTTTACTAATTCCAGTCAGCAACGTGGCAGCTCTGTTTTGAACTAATTACAGTGTCCAGATTGCCTTCAAGGGCAGCTCCATGTAAAGTGTGACTTAGTAGTCTAAATAGGTGGTTACCAGTGCATGTTCTACTGTTGCTAAGGCCTGTCTGTCCAGGGAAGGGCACAGCTAGGGACCAGCATCGGCTGGAGTAAGTCACTCCTTGCCACAGACTCCACCTGAAATTCCAGGATAGCGCTCAGCCAAGGTGTACGCTCAAGCTAAGTACTGGAAGAATGGAGTAAAGATGTGAGAAGAATTTGTTTATTTAAAATATTTATATATTTCCTAATATGAAATATCTAATCAGTTTACAAGAACTACATTTAAAACATACATACACCACCACGCACAACTGGACTTGCATTTTTGGTTGAGGCCTCCTGGTGGGGCTGTTGGTCATATACAGCAATTGTAATTAACCGCTTGAGTTGGGCTTTTTTAAAGTTCTGTTGAATCTCCTTGCCACTACTCAAATTTATATTACCTAAAATTAGCAATAAAACAAATGAGTACCTTCATGTGCTTCCTTACTGCCATTACATGCCATGAAGTTGAAGGAATGAATTCTTACGATCTGGCTTAATTATTCCCTCTTCAGAATTAGATATGTTCACACAGTTCTCACATATATTTAAAAGAATTGTAGCCATGGTTACAGCACATGTACATATTAAGAGGTTAATATTAAATTTCCAAACTGGCATTGAAGACAACAGTCTGATAATAATTGAACTTCTTCCACATCTAGTGTACTCTACTAGTTGTAACAATAAGCTTTTTTGAAAAAACAACTAAACAAGACTTTCTAATACTTGTATAAGGCAAAGTCTTTGAAGTTTGGTTTTGTTTAGTAATACGATAAAATATGAACAGGATGCAGATAGAGAAACAATGGGACAACACACGGCAGCTTTGAAGAAAGTTAATGGCTATTTCTAGCAATTAGATTATTGCTATGAAACTCAGTTTAAATTAGCTTTGATCTCAGTTGAGATAGCTTTGGCTAGATGGAGCAGTTGCCTGTCCTGAGGATTGTGTTGGTAGATTCCTGTGTGATTTGTTTTAAAATGGCAGGGATAGACTTTTATTCAATGAATAAGATACTATTTATTTGCTAAGATTTAGTCTCAGAAAACCATATTTATAGTTGCTGTTGACACAAATCAGTGACAACCAGTCTAAGCACAGTAGTCATACAAAACCAGTATTAGATAAATTCTTTAAAAAATATTTATTTATTTATTTATTTATTAAAACATTTCTATGCCGCCCCTTGCCGAAGCCTCGGGGCGGCTTACAACACAATAAAATACAATAAAATACAAAAATAACAATATAAAATTAAAATTAACAATATCAAATAAATATAACATATAAAAGAAGTCGCCCTGGCCAGCTAAATAAGAAAACATTGTTAACAATTAAATGACGTTTAAATAAAAAGGTCTTCACCTGGCGCTGAAAAACAAATAACGACTGCTCCAGGCGGACCTCTCTGGGGAGCGCATTCCATAGATTGGGCGCCACCGCAGAGAAGGTCCTCCTCCGAGTACCTACCCTCCTAATTTCTTTCATGGAGGGTTCCCGGAGAAGGGCCTCTCCCGCAGATCTCAGGGGGCGGTCGGGCATATATGGATGTAAGCGCTTATTAGAATGCTGTTTATAACATTCAAGTATTTCCAAACACATTACAACTGCATGAGTATCAGGAACATATACCATAACACACTTGTACCAAGGTAATAATGTGTGTCCCATAATCGTAAACTGGGAGTATTGCAGGGCTATTATTTTGATATTGTGCCACTGCTAACTAATTCTTGAAAAGATCAGTCTGTTTGAATGAAGGGTTAATATTTCTCAGAACGGGCATCTGCCTGCTAGAGGAAATTGTGCAAAGAAAATCCCCGTTTTGTGTTGGTTCTTTCTGTTAAGATGACTAATTATCATTAGGAGGGACTAGGCCTTCATTGTGTTTCAGCCTGAAATAAAAATAAATACTGTAAATAAATTCCAGTAATACTGTATTATTCTGAGTGGAAGTCCAAGACCACTGACTCTCATTAGAACAGGGTCTTGAGCATGGAAGAGAGTAACACAGAGTGGCATCGTGGTGTGTTTTAGCCTGGCTCCCACATTCTTCTCACAGCCTAACTACACATTACATAAACCACATAGTGTAGCTGAAACTTGTCCCCCGCCCCCCAAAGTGCAATGCTACTCAGGTTCAGAGATGGACTTCTGTGTTCAGGGAGCAAATGGTTAAATATTCCCTGGTTTAAACAAAGGAGAGGCCAGCTGATTTTTTTTAAACCCCCGACCAAAGATGTTGGTAATGGGGTGGGGGAGGTTTCATGGTTTAACCCTCTCTTCCCAGAGCACAGTCATCCAGATCTAAATCTGGATTCCACCTGCTTGTAATAGAGTAAAAATTTAAATGCCAAATATTGGGTGTATTTTACGTGACTGATATACTGTGTAGCTCTCAGAGAAGAGGTTGGAGAGATGAGACTTCAGTTGATAAGCTTCCGCCTAATTGTACATTGGTACATGGAAGGGGGCAAAAAGGAAGGAATTCCCAGTGCCAAAAGATTAGTCATACCAATGCTTTGGAAATTTTCCTCAGGGCACTATATAACATATATGCAGAATTCAATAACTAGAATATGAAAATGTAGAAAAGTGTGATACAATCTCTTACTAAGCAATATTAAAACAAAAATCTTCCAGTTATTTTCATAAAAAACTAATGTCTATTCCTGTAAATCAAGAGATACTATTGAACATAAATGCAAAACAAGCATTATTTAAAGGAAAAATGAAGCAGCCCTTAAGAATTAAAATTGCAGCCAAAAAACCCCCTTAAAAGTACACAAACAGGGCACGCTTTTATGTTTTATCATCTGACCTTGTACAGAAGAGCATACGCTAGTAAATGCCACATTACTTGTTGCAGTATGGGTTATATTACACTGGGTTAATACTAAAAATTTAAAAATCTTATGTGAGAGAGCAGACCAGAAGATGTTTGCATAGGAAGAGAAATAGCATATGGTCAATATGGCAGAAACACAGAGCACTGGAGGAAGGAAAAGGAAACAAGTTTTGATGTTAATCCTACACAGAGGTAAAAAGGGGATGAGATACTGGAACTGCCACAGCTGTAATTTAAAAGCCTGTGCAGCTTACTCAGAAGTGAGTCTGGCTGACTCAACTGGAGAAGGTTTCTGTAACTACCTCCCACCTCCTATTGTTGAACTTAAATGTAAATTATCTTTCATTTAATTGAACTTAGAATTGCAACCACCATTTGCAACCCGTACCTTTCATTACAAACTATGTGGGGGGGGCAATAATAAGCAGCCCTTATATTCTACCTTCTTTAATATAATTTGGTACAAAGAAGCCTTCCAAGTTATTCTCTCCCTGGCCCCCTAGAGCATATTTGTAGCAATTCTGTAAGACCAGGTTTTCATGATTGATGGATGGCAGCATGGCATAAATTAGCCATGGAGGAACTTGCGCTGGCTGCTTCTGTGGTCAGTGATCACTGTTTCTCATGCCATACAAACTCAAGCAGGGAGGCTTGTTGCCCTGGTATGGTGTAGTGGTCAGAGTGCTGAACTGGGACTCGGGAGGACCAGGTTCTAGTCCACATTTGGTCAAGACACTCATTGGGTGACTTTGGACCCCTTATTAACTCTATGCCTAACCTTCTGCACAGGACATAATATGTGTGGACATAATGGAGAAGATGAGAAAGATCAAGTAGGCTGCCTTGGCTTATTTGTAAAAGGGAAAAAGACAGAGC